GAGTCCAGACATGTTCAACAACGCCTGAGTGAAGCAGAGGTGTGCATGTCTGAGAGTTTTTCGGTCCTCATGTTGAAGGATAGACAGCTGATGTTTTAGAGGGGTACAGTTTCACTTGGGAGAAAATATTTTAAATATAAAATTTATTAGCGCTGTTATGAGAAACATATGTTTGTTTTCCTTCAATGGCTCATTAAGAATTATTAAGAAATAAAGAAGTTACCGGGACACCACAAGGCCAGTGACACAAACAGGAATGTTCAGTGAGCTTACTTCACCTGAAATGAAGCCCCCCCCCTTCTACCCCCACTAAAACTGAAAGTTAATATTTTGACCTGGTACAGTGCTCCTGCATTACCCCCATCTTTAATTAGATTGTTTTCCTACTTTTTTTTGTTCCCAGATCTCTCAGAATATTTAGAAATTAGTTAAAGAATTTTTTTAATAAATTGTAATATCAATAACACAGTGGACAGTCAAAGTTTGCAACAGTTAATGGCTAAAAAGGACATTTTTCTAACTTCTCAAATGTGTTTTCCCAGTTAGATTTTTCTCGTTAACTCTTACGTCATTCTCCATTTCTTAGAGTAGTTATAATATTGCATTTCGTTTTATTGCTTTTATTGTGTTTGCTGTGCTTTATTAGAAAATCACCTTATGAAAGTAGGATTCATTTCAGTAGCAGTAGACTGGCCATGGGTTGCATGTCTGCAGTTAACTAGATGAGCCACATTTGCATAACGTTTATCTTCTGTTGGTGGCCAGTTTTTAAAAAGACACCGCAAAGTTAAATAAGGAAAAAAATCAATTTTTTAAAAATTGTTTCCTTTTAATCAGAGTCAAACTAAAATTATGATGTTGTCAGATCTCTGCAAATCAAAAAGAATTACTGTTATTATAATCAACAGTAGTTTTGCTTGATTAGCAGACCCAAACAGCTTATTTCCACATTAAACATAACAAAAATTAATTTAAAACCATATCTGTGCGCTTTCTCTCAGTGGCAGGGCAGATTGTCGCATTAGCAGTGAAACAATGCCTGCTACAAAAGATGAGCTTAAAGGGTCACAGCTGACATCAGTTTGCAAGCTAATTAGCTTCACACTAAACAGCTTGCACACATATGTCCAGATGTCAATTTGATGCCCTTAAATGCTGGCCTGGTTCAACCGTTCAATATTGCTGTAGTAATGGAAACTGTGGGCAGTGAGTGCAAATGCAATGCAACATATTTGTTTACTTTTCCTAATGTATATATTTCTTTAAGACATTTTTGTCTCCTTGCGATACAAAAAAAGTACTAGGATGATTGCGTGAGTAATTAAACTGATATCTCAAATGAACAGCATAAATCTGTGCTACATATATTTTTTTTTAATATTTACATTTCATATGCTCGTCTGTCATCTCCAGAGCTATTTGAGAATTATTCATGAGGTCCACATCTGACAGGTTGAGCTGAAGTGGTCTCCAATCCAGAGTGTTAAATAAACAGGAGCTGTAGTGACACTGGCAGAAATCGTCACTTCAAATCATGTCCACAATTTGATTTCTTGTGCGTTATTTCTTCAAAGCAGGAGAGTCCACACTCCTCCATCTGTCACGCTATATATTTGAATATTTGTGCTGAAATGGTGGACGACAGAGCGTTCCAGATGGAGGTTTTGTACCTTTATAATCGAGTGACTGTGCTGGAGAAAGACGATTTAATATCTGTGTTCCTGTCATTTGATTTCAGGTGCAAGAGGAGCGGATTTTCCACCAGCAGGTTAAATGCGTTATTACAGAAGAGAAGATCTGCAGAGTCTGCAAGAAGAAAATAGGAAATAGGTAGGACTGTCCTGTTCAGATTTAGCATGCTGTTGTTTTATATTTACTTGGTTTTCGAATTTTATCTTTGTTTGATTGATTTTGGGTTTTCTTCTCCATTCTTTTGCTGAAAATTTGAGTATATGACAAATATTTGAATCTTAAAACTGAAAAGTGGGATGATTTGTTTGCTCTATAGAAACATTAACTCTCACTGATGTGGGGTTATGTATTCTTATATGCACGTTTATTAATTTAGTTGCATTTTCTTATGAGACTTAAGCTGCTGTTAATCCCAAATACACATAGTTTACTCCTTCAGCTTTCATTTAATGCTTGTTTATGTGCTTGTAACAATCAGTAGGAAAGCATTCACACATCTGTTTATTTTCTCTTTCAGTGCATTTGCCAGGTATCCCAATGGCGTGGTGGTGCATTACTTCTGCTGCAAAGACCGCAACATTTGCCCCGCTGAACAGTAACATCTCCACAGTAGAAATAATAAATTGCCCTCCTTTCTTCGACTCCTTGGACATCTGTGAACTAGAAATACACGTGGTAGTTGGAAGTGCTTAGAATGGGACGCTTTTGTCCAAAGCACGTCAGAGGATTTTGCTTGCAGATTCTTTTTAACCTGAGTTGACCTCCCGTTGTCATGCTCAAACCACAGAGCAGAACGGGAGCCAAAGTTGACTTTCTCTCTCTGTGCATGAAGTAGCAGTAGGAATGCCCGGGGACGTTCAACAGGCGGGGAGAGAGAGGGAGTGAGGTAGACGTTGACATTTGAAAAGCATGTGTCGCTGTAACTCTAGAAGGGATTCGCGGCTCTACGGTACACATTCCCTCTGAGGAAAACGGACACTATTGACAACTGTAACAACAGACGTTGTGCATGCACTCACCAGGAGATGATTACAAGCCTGGTTTACACAGTCTCCCTGCCCTCCTGTTGCGCTGCATCGGCCTCAAACACTGCTTCATATGCCATATAGACTCTGCAGGAGTACTGGTGAATGCCTTCTGCGACTCTGAAGATTGTCTCTCATGACTTGTCATTGCAAGTGATGGTACTTACTAAAACAGCTTTACAGCACATTTGTGGTTTTTTTGTGTTTTATTTAATCATCTGTTGCAGCTAACATATTTTCCTCGTTTGTTTTTTACAGTTTAAATATTATCGCTCTAAATTCACTCTCCACTGTTTTAATGTCTCGTTTGTCGTGTTCTTTGTCGTGGAATAATTTTTTTTAATTTAAACTTTGCAACGCTTGAGGAGCACTCACTCAGTTTCTCCCCTGGTTTGCTTCACCTATGAGCCACCGCATTGAAGCCACCTGCCTTATACGGTCTAGGCCTCCCTCGTGCCGCTGTGACCCATCAGGGCGTGATTGCAGTGCGTCCTGTGGGTTACAGGGCGCAGCCTCCATGGATCTTCCTGCTCAATCTGACTGGGATCTTTGGGAATTTGGGAGCTAGGTCTATGCCATGTGCTCTTCCAAAGTTGTTTTTTTTTCCTGAAGAGGGAAACTGTTTCTGTCAGGGTGTGCCGTTGCCATGGAAGATGATCAATAACATGTGATGTGTAGCTTTGATGTTGTGGTTTATTTAGTTGGTTCAGTGACATAAATGTCTCTCCAACTATGTTAATAATATTTTTTTTCTAAAGAAACTTTACAAAACAGTGTTTGTTTATTTGGGTTTTTTTCCTTTGTCATACATGAAATTTAATTTATTTGGGTTTATTAAAGGCTTTCTTTGCTGCTTTGAAGACTAATGGAATAACTGATGTAAATATTACTGATTTATGCCCTTTGCTGTGACCATGAGTCTCAGCTTTAGCCACTGTAACTTTTTCTTTTACGTATAAGGCTGTTGCCCGGTTTGCTCTGAGGCAGATTAAAAGTGTTGTAACTTTGTCCTGTTTGTTCATGTTAACTCGGATCTTTGCTTTTTCATTGCAATAGTATCTTCAAATGACAAATTACTGTTCACCTGGGAGGTATTTAACGAAAGCAATGCTCCCCCAGTTTATTATGAATAAAGTTAAAGCAATGAATGTATGTTTGGTTTTGTTTTGGGATTTTTTTTTTTTTCTTGGTCCGTGTTGTCAGTGACGCTATTGTTTGGATATCTGGATGACTGGAAGAAAAAAAAATAGATCGATCTTGTAATTTGTAGCATTTTCTACATCCCTTCTTCCTTGAAATATCTCCTCTTCTTCTGCTTTTAGAGGTTTGCACACATTCTCTGCTAAGACTGTTTCACATTTTTGTTTTTTAAGTATTGTTTTGTGGAAATTATTGTTACCACTGAGTGTATACTGTATAAAGACTAAGAGGGTAGATGACATATTTCTCATTGAAGTTATTTGTTTCTGAAGAGCAACCCAGCAGGTCGGTGCAGTCTGTCTGTTTGGCTATAATCAGTAATAAACATGCATTTCCACTCATGTTTGTGCCTGTGTGACAGCAACTCTCAACACCTACACTACACATATTCATTATGCAGGTGATGAATCTTTTTAGTGCTTGGATTTAGTAGGAAGCCAAAACAGTATTGTCACTGTGGAAAATGTCATCAGACTCTTAAGTATAAATTATGTGTAAATGTGTGGGCTACAGCTACTGATAACTTCCCAGCAAAAATGGGTTTATGATTGAATTTTTTTACTTTTTATGTTTAACATCTACATTTTTACTCTGCATAATTCAGAATTCTTGTGGCTAACACCACTACTGAATAAATTGATTTACCAGGCAGATTATTAGCTACAGCTGTTCAAATGTTTATTTGTTTTTAAATGCAAATCAGGCAGCAACTCAGTGCATTTAGACATGCATTGCTGATAAGGATAACCTGCTGAAATTCAAACTTTAATTGGCGGTTATTGTCAGACAAGCTGGTTTAAATATTTTAGAAACTTCCTGTCTAATGGGATTTTTCCACACAGTCACTTTTAGGGTTCGCAGAGAATGGTCTGAAAAATATTCAGTGAACTGCAGTTTTCTGAGTGAAAATCAGAGGTCAGAGGAGACTGCAGAAGAGCATCTCTGAATCTACAATATGAATAAACCAGATTGGCTACGGCAACAGAAGACCATACCAGGTCCTACACTTGTCAACTATGAACAGGAAATTGAAGCTGCCATCCTCACGGAGTCACCAAAACGGACAATACAGGATAGAATAAACTAATTGTCAGTTTCTGCTGAAGTATTCAGATGGTTGTCAGAATCTGGCATAAACAACATGAAAGCGTGGATCCATCCAGCCTTGTATCAACAGTTCAGGCTGCTGGTTTTGGAATAGTGTGTATGCTGTATGTTTTTGGCACACTTGGGGCTTCTTAGTGCCAACTAAGCATTGTCCGTCTATGTGGCCACAGTGTAGGCTGACGGCTGCTTCCAGCAGGATAACACACCATGTCACACAGTTCAAATCATCTCAAACTGGTTTCTTGAACATGACAATGAGTACACAGTATACAAAAGGCCTCCACAGTCACCACATCTCAATCCAAGAGAGCAGCTTCAGGAAATAATGATGTTCTGGAGCAACTGTGTGTTATTTTTTTAAGCAAAATTCAGATTTTTCTTAAAATATTTGACTATTCAATTTGTTAACTCAGTAGCAGTTTTAACTGTTCACCTTTACTTTTTTTATTCTGACATTTCCATTAGTTATATTTAAGAAAAATCTTCTGTCAGAAATATAGATATACAGGTAACATGCAGATTGGATAATGAGCTCATCAGTTATTAGTTGTTGTTGTTGTTGTTGTTGTTGTTTTTTAATTTACAGCACTTCCTCTTCCCGCTTTCACAAATAAAGAAAAGTAGCTCCTCTCCTTATCTGTTTGCGAACAGTCAGCCATCCACATCTCATCTGGAAGTCCTTTCCCAGATAAGCCCATTATCCTCAGAGCCGGGGCACCGGAGAATACTCACACTGTAACTTGTCCTGCTAATGGACTTCCTAAACTGAGCCAAGCCAGCTGGAGTAACAGAATCACAACAGCCCGACTGCTCAGCAACGCCGTAAGTCTCACACGCTAACAGTGAAGTCTGCCAACTGCTTTCTACATCGGGGCCTTGGATGGATCCTGATGACTTCCTCGTCTGGGCAGGGAGACAGGATCCAGCTTGAGAACAGGGCCCAAACCAGCAGAATATGTTTGGCTGATAGAAGCATCACTGGAGCATATGGAGAGCTCCGACATCATAGTACGAAGGTCCCCAGCGACTTTGAAAACAGCAGTGTCTGTGAGGCTGAGAGAAGCACTGAATAATTCAGTAATCTCCAAAATGTAGCTCTGTCTTTTTTTAAAAGTGTGTCTTCTGCATCCAGCAGCACCGTAATGTCCCGTTTGCCCCTAATAATCTACTGTAAAAATGAAGAGCGCTTATAACACCAGCGCTGGGATGGTGTCATGTCTTGGAATGCTGCAGCAGCGTGGGAATGGAAAAGATGTTCCAGTTGGAAGCTGTGTTCCCAGTTTAAACCAGTCCACATCTGCTTTACTTTCTTCGCAGCTGGCACAGAGAAAATACCTCCTTGGTTTTTTTGGAAGACTTGAATGTGTAGATATGACGAGTGATTTTAGGACCGTGGTGCACAGGCTTGTCTCAGATTTAAATATGTCAGTAACTTAATTGCTATTAAATTTTGCACAGGCGTTTTTATTGTGTTTCAAATATGTGTTTAGTTGGGGTGTAGCTCACATAACCTTTAAGTAATACAGTCTAACAATGTCTGCACATCAGGTCAGTGTACTTTCCTGCTCACAAATCTCCGTATCCTGGAGCTCCACCCGTCTGATGTGACTTGCATTAAAGTAACACAAATGATGCTTTGTTCCATCAGACGTCACTGCTTGGAAAGTAGCTGCATCTGCTCTCATCAAATGGCTGATTAAGAAAAGTGTTGTAAGGATAGTTGGTACGGTAGCAGAGGGACTCCATCATAAGGAAAGAAACTCTGAGTTGGGTGCTTTAAGTTTTTGGGTTTGATTTGCTGGGATATATACAGTCTATCTTGAGGTCTGTAGGCTTTAAGTCAGACTGCTGGGTTTCCTCAAACTCAAAAATCAAAGGTTTTCTCTTCATCACTGAACTAAATTGATTTTAATTATCTTTTCCCATACTGGATTCTTATTATTACTCAACATTAATATAAATGTTGAGTAAATGCAACACTGTCCACTGAAGCTCTCCATGTAGCTATCCTGCTGGACCTAAGACTGAAAAGAGAGAGAGCATGTTTCTCCCATACTGGCTTCTCTTCATTGGCTCCAGGTTAAATCCAGAATCAGTGTCAAAAGTCTTTCTCCTTGCAAATAAGGTCTTGAATAATCAGGCAGCATCTTATCTTGAAGACGTCATTTCACCCCAGTAGAGCACTTTGCTCTCAGACTGCTACCTTACTTGTGGTTAACAGAATAGTTAAAAGTAGAATGGTACCTCTTCTGCTGGAGGCTTCTTCCTGTTAAATGGGAGGTTTACCTTCCCACTTTTTCCCAGTGCTTGCTCAGAGAGGGTCATTTGATTGTTGGGATTTTCTCTGTATTATTTCAGGGTCTTTACCTTACAGTATAAAGCACAGTGAGGTGACTGCTGTTGTGATTTGGTGCTATAGAAATTAAACTGAATGGAACTGAACTGAAAACCTAAGAGTTAAACAAAACTGGAGCGCCTGAAAGGCCTTGAGAGAAGAACCGTTTGGAAGATGAAGCTCTTTATAGCAGATGGACTTTTAATTAACTGCTCAGACTTGAGACTTGAAATTCATTGATCTTCTTTTTAACTTTCAGTCGAGAACAAGCTTTCAATCTCAAACTTGGGGCTGTGCAATCAGCTTAGCACAAAGACTATAGAGTGGAAAACAGCTAGCCAAGCTGTGCTATATTTTTGAGCAGTTTTTCTAAATATTAACCAGCCAAACGCAAAATCTTATTATCAGTGAGCTTTAGAGGAACTATAAGGTGGATGCTGCAAGCTAAAAGCTCCTTTCAGCTGCTCGCTTATTCACAAAGGGTCACCACACCACCCTTCCTGACATAACTCATAAGAGTGTCTTCTCCGTATCTCAAATCGGGGATCTTTTAATATCAGACAAATGTGTAAACCAAGGTGTGATTTGTTAAACAATTAACCTTACCTTTGTCCTTGAATAGAGCTGGGCTTGTTCTTTCTCTGGCGTTGCAGACTTTATGCCAAACTACGCTTCACACTCATGGCTCGAGCTTCATATACAAGAGAAGGGAAACTGTGACTTTCTCCTTTCTCAGCAATAAAACAAATTAGTTCATTTCTCAGCTGAGTCTTGCTGTAAAACTACTGTCACTGAGACATGTATAATCCTGGAACCATTACCTTGTAAAGCCAGAAACTTTTGTCATTTAATTATTAGATGTGCGCTCAGAGGTCTCGGAAGTTTCTATGGATGTTTGAAGACTGCTGAATGCACAGTGAAGTCTGCAATCTTTCAGTTTTAGATACCCCTCTAAAGCCTAAAATGAGTGCTTCTTATACTACCCATCTATTTTTTTTAATTGCTTAACATTTCCATGCTTGTAAGGGTGCTGGAGCTATCCCAGCTGTCATAGGGTGAGAGGTAAGGTGCACCCTAGACAGTTTGCCAGTTACTTTACGCTCACTATAGACAATTTAGAGTCACAGAGTAACTTAACATATATGTCTTTGGACTTGGAGAGGAAACCAGAGAACCAAGAGTCGACAATATCCACACAAGAAGCTCCACCAGGCCATCAGGAGCAAACCAGTCACCCTCTTGGTCTGAGGTGAAAGTGCTAAACAAGACCTGCCACCCTGAGTTATGCTTAAAAGATGCATTTTACATGGCCTGATGTAAAAATACTCCAGTTATACAGAGCAGACTCGGTAAAGTTGCCTCTGGCCTTCGGTGAAGCACCAGAAGCTGAAACCCTGCTCCATATGCATCAGGACAGATGCTCGCATAAATTCCTGCTTTGTCTTTGTGTTCTGACACTTTGTATTTGCATAATATATACACAAGCACAGACACACACACGCAAGATTAAACTTGTATTTCTTAGAGCCCGATGATCACCGGATACAGCCGAGAGGCAGTTGAGTGGGCTGAGTTTCCACTATTATTATAGAGGAATTCCATAGAGGCTTGGTTTTTTTTTTTTTTTTTTTTTGGGGGGGGGGGGTCTGGCAAAGTTGTGTGAAATGCCGACAGTGATTCTCACCGGAACTAAAAGTGCTGGTGACAGTCTGTGGCTGTGTTTGCAATAAACACACATACAGAGCACACTGCAAAGTGTGATGCAAAATATGTTTTGTGTGACACCCATCATGCAATACTCTGTTAAACCTCCTCAAGGACAAAGAGGTCAGAGGTCATAATAGGTATGGAAACCTTCCGGCTAGTAGAGATTTTAGGAAACAGCAGAGTCCTTGCAGGCTTGATTCTTGATCAGTCGTGACTCATTAGAGGTCAACTTTTAGGACCTGCTCCTCACCCAGTACATTTCACTTCTTTTTTTTCCACAGCTGTTGTGGGAATGTGGAGCTTTGTCTTTCCACACATCTCAGGAGAGACAATATTGACTTTAGCAGTAGGTTTACTCTGCTGTCAGCCCCCCATGCAACCAGGGTTCCCTCTCTGCACCTTTAAAAGGCCTGTTAAGAGCTTGATTGCCAGGCCCCATGTAAGAAGAAAATTCCATGAGACGTTAGAGTGTGCGGTGTTCCCAGCTAAGCTGGCAGTACCAACACCTCACCATGGCTGCTGTGTGTGTTTATCTTCTTTTATCCTCTCCTTGTCTCAATGTGTAGACTTTTCCCTCCCTGCTTTGGGGTGTCACTGTCTTTCCCAAAGATAACTGTGACAGCAGAGCCGCGAGAGGCGCAGCCCTGTCTGTACGAATGAAGACAAATATCTCCCAGCCTTGAGCCAGATGTGGCTCTGACCCCTGTGACCTTCCCTTTCTATATACTCAGCCTGGATGCAGGGCAGAACTCGCTGCCTGATGGGTCTCTCGGTAAAGGGATGGAAGAAAGGGAATAAATAATGAAAAAGACACTTGGAAGAAAATAAGGGGCCTATGATGGCTACTGGTTGAGGCTGCTGCCAGTCTTTTACTCACTCAATAAATATTGAAAAATCAATGCACAGGTCGAATCCACGCTTTTTTTGTTTCTGAATTTATGCTGTAACTGGCTTCGTAGTGTAGTGGTTGGCATGTTTACAACCAAAAGATCCCCGGGGTGATCCTGGAAGAGACACAAATCCCTTCGGGGTTGCATCAGGAAGGGCATCCGGCGTGAAAACCAGACATGCGGAGCTGCCCACTGTGGTGACCCCTTGTGAATAAGGGAGCAGCCAAAAGTAGCTTTATGGGATTATTTAGTGACCTGCTGTTATTTTGTTATGATACGTCAACTTTAATTTGACCTTGCATGCTTTCTCTTCAATAACAACCAGGTTTGGGTTGCCAGGTTGCAAATCCTTTGTTTAGCATTTATCCTTTCTGTTTAATGATTGTGCATTTGTATATGATGATCGATTGATAAATACTTAATAATTTGATTCAGCCTCACAGGAAAGAAGTTCTGGGTTAGATTCCACCTCCCGACTGAGGCCTTTCTGTTTGGTGTTGGCAAGCTTTCCCTGTGGCTGCCCTGGTATTCTGGCATCCACCCACGGTCCAAAGATACCTTATGTTAATTGGCGATCAGTGCAACCAACTGTCTGTGTTCCTCGTGAAATGACCATACACCATAGTGGTAAAGGGAGTTCTTTTTTTTTTTTTTTTTTACAAGCTCTCACCCACGCTTATAACTGATGCAAAAAGCATGTAATTAGCTTTTTACAAATTTAAAGCCACAGGAGTTATAAACTCATTAGAAAGTGGTTCTATTAAACACCGGAAATAACAGAGAAAAGTAAGCCTGTTGGCATTTCTGAGTGTGCTTCATCACAAAATAATTGCTTGAATGCATCACCAATTAAAAACATAACAGTGCACAGCTGCAGACGGGTTTGTGTTCCATTTATTGATTTCATTTGGCTCCTCGTTGCCTTCCCTCCACCGTTGCTGGATCACATTTCTTTATCTTCTTCTGTCAAGGAAAACTCGGCATTCCTGATTCCCAATGTTGTAGCGGTGGGCCTAGCTTTGTGAGGACGTCGCACGCATAGCATTTTCTGTTAGGTGGGGCTGGATGAGCTCATATTGTGGGCTGTTTTTTTTCTGTTTCTTGTAGCAGAGAGGGAATAAGATGAGAAATTTCAGCCTCCTCAGCTCTGTTATGCCTCTGGGGCGTTATTGCGCTGCTCTGATTTCTTCGCTGGTGTCTGAGGCCGTTTAAAGGTTGTTACGGATTTTGGAGAGGGGTCCTCTCAGGCTAATGTATTCTGACTTTTTCTTACGCCTCTGATTTATTCGCACACGGAATATGTCATAGTTGCAAAGGTCATCTGTGCAAATCAAGAGTTAAATATTCATGCTGCTACAAAGTCTTCCTTTGTCTTCGTGATCGGTTTAGCTGCATTGCTTAATTTACTCGGTGAGAGCTAGAGGCTCCAAATTTAGAAGTGTTATTTAAAATGCATAGGTAGACTAATGAGCCTACCTGTGCAATGAGGAAAAATGTTGCAGCAGGTTTTATTTAGATTCAGGATGAAGCAGATGTTGTACTGAAGAAATTAAAAGGGTCAATATATTTAAGTGAATGAATTTTTTCTCATTATGTGTAGCTGGTTCAGTTCTGGTTTTATTTGTCCAGCATTTCATTTCAGTTTTGATTCATATCTCTGTGCATAAGAAACTAATCCAATTACATTAGCAAATTAAGAAATAAGAGAACCACTGTTGCTGGAATAGAAGAAGATGAAGTTTTTTTCCATGCTTTGCACACCACAGATTAAACTACACTGACCTCCATTATAAATTGCAGGGACAAAACCTAATTATCTGCATGGTTGGACACCATGCTTGATCAATAAGTTGCCATTTGTCATGAGTGTTGGACCCATAAGAGACAGTGCAATCACAGACAGCTAAATAGAGATATGTTTAAGATTGGACTCAAAACTTTCCTTTTTGATAAAGCTTAAACCAGGATTAAGTGACCCTGAACAATCAGTTAATTATGATGTCATAGGTTCAGGCTGCTGCAGGATGTCATATGACACACTGAGCACTTTTCAGTCGCTGTGTTTATATAGCAGCGTGCCTCCTGTTAAAAGAGATTTTTTTTCCTTCCCGTCGTCGCAAAGTGTTGGCTCACAGAGGATTGTTTAAGTGCAGGGATTTTCCTCAAATACAGTAGGGTCTTTATAGTATAAAGCACTTTCAGGCGACTGTTGTTGGGAATTGGCCCTGTATAAATAAACCTGGATTGAACTGAAGTGATGCAAAGTGATGTGAAGACGGAGATGTGGAAAAAAGACAAAAACACAACTGCGGCTTTTCCTACAGCTCTCCCATCTTTGTTCTAAGCAATGCCCACCAGATGGTCATTTGCATGTGCTTCACATCTACTGAAAAATAGCAAGTAAAGGGGACCAGATGAAAACCCACTGCTTAACTATTGCTCAACCCCACTTTGTTCTAATAAGAGTTTTGTTTTATCCTGAAAATGTCTCCAAAAGTCTCCTGTCATAAAAGCCTGAAAGCCCACTGAGGTAAAGCAGCCCAGTTCTCTCTCAGACTGCTGAATTATAATAAGCTGAAAGGTTATTATTGATTTTCCTCTTAAAACCCAACTTACCCCAGCTTTAATAATCGGTTTATTGATTGGTAGATGAATTAAATAATGCAAATGAATTGCTCATTTGTAGTTTTTTTATAAAACGAAACTTGCTGTTTTTCTTCGTTTTATAATACTATAAACAGATAAGAAAAAGACATCCAAACATTTCTGTGAATGTGATGAGCATTTAATTATTTTTGTATTGTAATAAAGACTCATAAACACATTTAGTTACAACCCAACATTTTCTATTTCACCTCTGATTTTCTTCTTCAGGATGCTGAACCTCCAAAAATGCCTCGTGTTATTTAAACGAATCAACTTTAAAGGCTAAAAGTAAAATATTTGCCTCTGAAAACTACCTTCGGAAGCTCGAAGTACAACGAGACAGCTCCTCGAATCTGTTCCAAATGCCGTTCTGAAGCATTGGGTGGAGGTCGACTTAGCTACCCTACACCCTTAATGCTTTGGCTATTATACAAACAAGGGGAGCTGCTTTTGGGTTTAAAGGGAAAGAGGTGATGTTCATGTAGGTAAAACCAACCAGCGTTGCTTCAGTGACGCGCAAAGGGAGTAAAAACTAAAAAGATCACCGCGAATTAAAGCTTGAAAGAGCCAGAAGTGAAAATCTCTCATCTGAGTCTTTTCTTTGTTTCCCCCAATGATCTGCACCCAAGCTTGCGTGTCAGCTGCTCATCGTAGATTGGACGCGCTCCCCTCATCACAGCCAGCGGATGGATAACGCGTGAGCGTGCGTGAGCGCGCGCGAGTGTTTGAGAGTGGTGAGATGATATGACTCGGCGCTAGGACCGTGGCTCTGTCAGTGCGCAAATCCCAGCAGAGAGGCATCGCTCCGGTAGAAGCGGCTGTACGCGCAGAGACAGAGAGGCTGTCTGTCTGCGCTGCGGTTCGACCCATCACCGGCGTGGGAGGCTGTACCTTCCACGGCGCACGGACCTGAACCTGCCAGGCTGCGGAGCCCTCCGTATGGGCTCACCATGCGAAGGATACGGGCCAACGCCATCGCGATTCTGACCGTTGCATGGATCTTAGGGACGTTTTATTACCTGTGGCAGGACAACAAGCCCCAGTCGTCGCCGTCGTCATCGGCTTCGCAGACTCGCGGCAGGGGCCACGGGCAGAAGGTGATCCCCGGTCGACTGGAGATTCACCGGGATGACAGGACCATCCCGCTGATAGTGAGTGAGCACGGCTGTGAGGGATAAAGAGGAAAGGGGGGATGAGAGCGGCGCTGTTGCTGGAGGCGCCGAGCTGCAGGAGAGTGTGTGCTGCATGTTGATGTGCATGTGTGTGCGCGAACCCAGGGATGATGAGGATGGAGGTGGAGGTGGTGCTGCACAGCTGTAAGTGTCACAGTTTGACTGGACGTGTAGGCTGCAGGCTTGAGCGCCGACTTCAACCTCGTCAGGTGCACGCAACCTGCAGAGCAATCTACAGCCTGCCGTGCAGCCCTATTTTGTTGTGTTTCCCCGCCTTTCTGAGCTGCACACCCGACGCCAGGGAACCTCAAGTACCCGTAAGAGGCTTTCCGTAAGTCTCGTGCGTCGTGCGCAAACGCCTAGTAAACCACATTATGCTGCGACTTTTCCCGGATTGCAAATGTGAGGTGAAAAACACGGACTCCCAGGTCGGGCATTCTGTCATTAGAGGGCCTGTTTCAGTCAGGTCATGTCTGTATTCGCCTGCTGTTGTCTGGGGGAAGGAGGAAAAATACCGAGACTGTAGGTGTGGTGGTCGTCAGGCTTGACTTTTAGTAGCCACCAGGTTGCAACACAGCCTACAGACACAATCTGAACAGTATAGAGCTGGAACTGGCTACATGCCAGCTCAGATTAGAATATCCAGTCTAGTCGGGCTGCAGGCTTTCTATTGCATTTAGTGTGAAGAGATACAAGACCTGTAGCTTGTGCTTTTAGAGCAGTGCAGAAAAATAATCTGGTATCCTGGGAATAACTGACAGGTCATTGACTCAATATAAATGACTAAAAGCTCCTTTTAATCTTGTCAGGAGGTGGAAAGGTTTTTGCTTAAACAATAAGAGATTATGTGTAAAATTTAAAGTAAAAGTGAATCTTAATAGAATATTTTTAGGGCAAAGGCATAACCAAGCACTTTCCCTCAGATATCTATGCTACTACCACCCAGTAAGCAAATATAAAAATCACTTAAGTGTGTGTATCCAGTTCAGTTTTAAGGAGACAGGGACTGATGTGGAAATACTGCACACTCGAGCCTCTTTCACAATTTACTAGACCAATAAAATTGCCTCAGATGTGGCTGGGGTTGTGTGCCAACATGTCAAAGCGTTTCGCTCCAGCAGCAGCCAAATTATTAAAGCGTTGTTCGCAGGATTTATTAATTCAGGGGCAAATACCAAGCAGTGGGGTTGTTGTGGCATCTATGCAGGCAGGCCCTCTGGAGCAGAAGAGAGGAAGCTGTGGTTTGCATTAGTGTGTGAACACTGGCCAAGAGTATGGCGATGATCGGAGGATGCACACAAACAAATATGGAATCAGTTTAAAAACCCCTCAGTGTGACTGCAGTCAGAGGAGAGAGCGAGGTGTATCATGTCCCCGTCACAGTTTACAAGCTGATGCCATAAACTGCAAACTGCTGCTGAACCATAAACAGACCTCACTTCTAATCAGATTGTTCTTTGGTCTGTATGCTTTAGTTTTGAAAGTGAAGCCTTTGCTGTTTGTAATCTTTGATTTGCTCAGCGGGGTCGTTCACCTTTATCACCAAACTGAGATTTTCTAGCTGTAGTTTGTCCTGGTAATCTGACCTGGAGCTCACAGGCTGCCAGCTCGGCACAGCAGGGTCCCACGGTTCAACAAGAGCAGGCTGGTACAGAGGAAGGCTTTCTTTCTTTCTTTCTTTCTTTCTTTCTTTCTTACAGACTTTCCAATTGTTTATTTTTCCCTTCCTTTCTTTTCACTTTGTCTTTCCCTTTATTGCCCAATCTCTCCTCTCATTCTTCATTCTTTCCTTATTTCCTTTGTATCTTTATTTTATCTTCTTCATTAGTTATCTATTTTTCCCCACCATCTATCTATTTCTTTTTCATGTATTCCCTCCTTAACAATTTCTTTCTTCCCATCCTTCTTTCTTGTCATTCTCTCCTCCTTCCGTCCTCTTAGGCTTCTCTTTTTTGTCACTAATGTTCATTAAATGCTTTTGAATCACTAACACATCATCTTTGAAAGCTGTCGGCACTGTCTCCACTTTTTTCCTCCATATGTCTCCCACTGAGCCTCCAGTTTCCCAGTATTGCTTTTGTTTTGCTACAGTAACCAAGTGCATGAGCATTTTTCATCGTCTAATTTGATTTTAGCGTTCAGAGTAACTGACAGCCTCGCCGACCTGCACAGCTCCCCTCATATCATGTCATCGCAGAGCCACATCAGCCAATTACTTTGTCATTTTTCTTGCAACACGTGTCCCCCCTACTATTTTATTTTTTTGGTTACTAACATTATTAATGTATGATTTGATAATAAGAAGTTGTCAGTATCTGGAACCGGCTCAGACTGCTGGTCTGGGTGCCCAGACTTTTTTTTTTTGTCAAACATTATTTCTGACATACACTTCATGAGAGAACTGTGCTGTTAACAATCTCGTCTGAGCTAGGATTAACTACATATTCCATTACAGTGATGCATACATAACTCGAAGACTTTGTGAGAGTACAAAGCTCAACTAATGCTTTGTAGTTTGGCAACTTCCACTACCCAAACACAAAAGCTTTTAAAACCTGGATAAACATTGCAAAAATAAGCAGCATTCCAAGCAAATGTTTTTTTTAAAAACCTCCTTTTTTCTTATTTATCAAGAGTTTTAACTCCAAAACCCATCTAATCTGCAAAGTGTGCGTGGTTTGTTTAAATTTGATTGCCTGTAGTATAAAGCCTGTTTGATCCTGGTATGTCCTAAAGAAATGCAGAGCATATTTTTTTCCTAACTGACTTAACCCAAATAAGATGAAATGACTAAAGCAGAAACAGCTCTATAATTATTCCAAATTCATGTGTTCTTATAGAATCTTTGATGAGCCGACACCTACACTGGGATATAATTTCTAAATTTACCCACCCATCTTTCTCTGAAAAGAAAATTTGTATATCAATACACATTAGCTATATGGATGAAAGTGTTGGGCCACACCTCTTAGTCTTTGAACTAGTCTGTGTTCAGTCCCATTGCCACAGGCGTATAAATTTAAGCATGTAGCCTTTACAAACATTTGTGAAAGACTGGGTCGTTCTAAAGAGCTGTGTGTGTGGTGCTGTCATACAAAACCACTGTTATAATAAGTCAGACTGTGAAATTTCTTTCTCCTAGATATTCCAAGATCAACTGTAAGTGGTATTATTACTAAAGGAGGCAGACCATGTAAAGTTGCAGAGCAGGATCTAGGCCTAATATGTAGGTGGCTCATTGCTGTTGTTCACAGAGTGTTTATGGACGTATCTGTCTTGCTCGACTTGAAACTACCTTCCCTTGGCATTGTGTCTTTTCATTTTAAATAATTCCCTGTTAGACGTCAGTCTCCAGACGTATACCAAATGTGCACGTCTGTTTTTTTAAATGACCAAAAATACTCTTTAGAGAAAAGAACCAGTTTTGCTGATGATGAAAACTAATTAAGATAGCTGCTTGACAGTAATAATAATAATTTCATTTACGTAGCACTTTTAAAAACACACAAAGTGCTTCACACATGGGGTGAAATAAAATATATTCAAATTAGTATACACACCTACATAGATGTTCTGTGGACTCATCTGTTACCACAGCCACAGCAGGGCTGCGTCTCCGGGCAATCAGGCAGATTGCACTTGTATGTGACTTGTTGAGTCTTTTAACTCAGCCTGAAAGAGCGGACATGTGTTCATCTTCCAGACTAAGCTCATGTTTAATTCAGTGGACCGAGCCTCAAAGCGCCTTCTGTTATTTATATCTTAATATCCCCTCTGTACCATTTTTTGTAGCTTTTAATATTTAGTCATGATGATATTTACAGAGGGATTCTGGAAAGAAATCAGAACAACGCAAAGATAAAAAACAGTCAAAATATCACGTTATGGTAGAAGAACTTAACATAATAATGAATTTCACATGTAACATATAGTTATTAAACTATCCCACTTGTTTTGCAGATTTTCTAGTCCATGGCCTGACTCTGTTATCTCAGGCTTGGCTCTAGCCTGAAAAGATAAATTAATAGCAGTGATAAATATAGGCCCGTAGCCCCGATTGTGTCCCCTCCGAGATGATTTAGAGACTGCTAATGGACAGCTTGTTTACATTCACAAATAATGACAGTTTGGGCCTTAAGAGCCTGCTTTACATAGAGTAGCTTAGCTCTAAAAAGCCAGAACTGTTCTTGTTTAAAATGATTGTAAATTGAGCAGAATCTGCTGAATGAGCATAATTATCACACCTCTATATTTTCATCTAAAGGAATCTGGTATACTTAATCAACCTTGATTAAATTCTATGAAAAACACATATAATTTCAGTTTAAATGTCATTCAGTTGGGTATTTTATTGGATTTGTGTTTGGTTTTTGTCATCCTGGAAAAATTGATTTCAATTTGCTCGACATCAATCAAATACGTAAAAATAAATAATAGCTAAATAAATTCTCATGTATCTCTCTGTGTAACAAGCATCAGGTTACAGGGCTAGAAAATGTTACAATAACAGCCAAAGAAATTTAAAATTTAATTTTTCTGTAATTGGCTGCAGTTAATCTGGTTTGCCAATCGATCGAGCCAAACAGATTAGATTTGTTGAAGCTGTTACTGTTTCAAAGCTAAAGCTGCCGGGCTTTGTTTGGTGTTTTCCTCAAATATTGCCATCTGTAAATGGCTTCTGAAATTAGGATTAGGATTAATCCTGTTTTGCATACAGATGGGTAATTTTATTAGAAATCTATCTACATCTAATTAGCAAGTAGATGTAAAGAAGATAGAAGATTATATGTCCTTATCAGTGAAATGTACTTGATGCATAGAGTGAGGCCAAACAGCTTGGTTATCACTTTAATGATTAATTGATTGAAGTGGATTTCATTAAATTATGTACTCAGCTCATGTTTACAGCTTTCAATTTGGTATATACAAGAGAATGAGACTTAGTATTTTACGTATTTTTGATTTTTGTTTTTCTTTTGTAGAAAAAACATCATAACTCAGCAATTCTCTGAAAGATAAAAAAATGACTATCATATAAAATATAACGAGTAAGCTTATAGACTATAATTTAGACCTATTTTATATATTATGTAAGCTCTAATGTCTAAACTTTGCAAATTCAGGCTACATTTTGCTTTTATTTCAATAACATAAACCCGTATTTTGTGCTGATCTATCAGAAATATGCTGTCACCACTGTATGCATTTGTCAAAATAAATTAGTGTAGTTTTTAAAGAAATCCCAAGAAGTCTAAAGAGCTCAAGTTCATGAGCTAATGTATGTACTAGCTGCTAGCTGGCCCAATCTAATCCCACATGCACAGATTCCTCCACCAGGCATTAAGTGACATTAGCATTGATTCTGAATAATGTCAGCGTGACTATTTCCACCTGCTGGATGCGATTTGTTTAGTTTGTTTCATGTTGCTGATGCAATATTTGTCAGAGAGCCTTTGCTTAAGGCTGCTGCTCCTCGAATTCCCACCATTAACCACCAAATAAAAACCAAAACAATGAGCTAAAAGGCGGTAAACTGAAAAGTCAGATTTTGAGCTTCATCATCACCTGGTCCACTGTTGAAAAATATACATTACAGCCTTGAAACTAGAGGTCTCGCTGCTATAGTAAGTGTGCCCTTCAGCTGGCTTTCTCTCTAGCTGTGCAGCGCAGATATATTTGAGCATGAATCCTTGAGGCTTGCGGGGTCATACTGCTCCTCTGGGGTGACTGAAAATGAGGTCAGTCTTACCTGAACCTTTTCAGGAGCTTTCTCTAAATCTCCCTACTTACACCGACCTTTAATAAAGCGGCGCAGTATAAAACCGCTGCCTTTCTGTCTCTGTCCATTTTGCCGTTGCATCTCTAATGAGCGTTGCTCTCATCTCCCTTTATGTATTCATCAGCTATTTTAACCTCCCACTCACCCAGGCTGCCAGAGAGTGTTAAAGCTCCTTGCGGGGAAAATCCATTAATTACTGAGGATTTATAGACTATGTATTCCGATTTGATGAGTGCCCATCCCGTTTTGCCCTGTTAGCACTGACACGATGACCTGAATAAGAAAATAGCATTTACATTTTAATCACTTGGCTCGTACTTTTCTTCACATTGGATTAAAAGTTAAAGCAATTTATTTATTTTTTGCCTTATTTAGCAGGGACGCTGCACATTAATAATTATGGCAGGAAATATGCCAGAGATTGCCAAGAGGGTTTTGGGGGGATGTCCCTGAACAGATATTACAAAGTCACATTTAAAAAAACAAGAATGTGAGATGTTTAGTTAGCAGAGTGTAAGGGCTTACAAATATCAGATAAGCTTTTTTAATCTTCAGAGATGTCAGAGTTGTTTTTTCTCTTTCTCTCTCTTGAGGAGGATACTGGATCCCAAATTATTCCCAAAGGCAGACAGGTGTCTTGTAGAGTTTGTTAAGACAGACAGTTCCCTTTGTGTGTCACTTTCAAAGGAATTATAGGTGCTGATTGTTGATAAAAGGCACTGAGCGAGTGGAGTTTGAGTATAAGTCATTCACAATAATCCTTGTTTTTCTTAGTATTTGAATCCAGCTTTCATCATTTTGTGCAGGTGACCCAGCCCCCTCGGGCCGAGCAGCAGGGCCAGCTGCTGGGCAGCTTCGATGAGAAGGCTTACTTAGCAGCAAAGCAGCTGAAACTGGGCGACGACCCGTACAAGGACCATGCCTTCAACCTGCAGGAGAGCGACCGGCTGGGCAGCGAGCGAGCCATACGAGACACTCGACACTACAGGTGAGCGGGGTTAGTCCAGGTACTGTCTGCCTCCTCTGACCTGCACAAGTGGATCGGAGACTAATCTTGTAGGAAAGAAAGAAAGATCAGATTTAATGTTTTGCTGAAGACATTGGACCTTGTGTTGAAACTTTTTGCCTTCTGCTGTGTTAAAGATCAAAAGATCAAGAATGAATCTTCCAACACATTTTCTTTGCTTAGTTTAGAGGCCTTGGGTTTTAGTGCACTCAGTAACTTAGAATATTTCGAATTTCTTTTTAAAGTGGAGTGGTCACTACAAGCACTGCTACAAAAGCAGGTCATACAGGTTTGCATTTTAACTCGCGGCTCCAAGGAACCTTTTTCTCAGTGTGCATAATGTCTCCTCCAGTCTTTGTTTGCAGCGTCATGTTTAAAGATACAATTTGAGTTGAAGTAAAACAAACCTTTAGTTTTTCTCAAAAGATATTTTGCCTCTTTGGAGTTTTGTTTTTTTATCCAGATTGCTCTAAAATCCCCTTATCCGTGATTGTTGGGCTTCTTCTATAACTGGAAAATGCAGCTGAATGGCTGCCAACTGAAAGTTATTTTTTTATTCAACCTTTATTTATGCAGAGCAGGTTGCTCCTTTTTAAAGCCGCGTTCTGTTCACTGTTACACTGAGGCATAAAATTGCAGGAAACAACACAAGTGAGTCATAAACAGAAGAGGACAATAGGCAATAAACAAAGTGCGAGCTCGGCTGAAAGCAGGTAAAAGGTTATTATACATGCATATATATAATTATATAATATATAATTAAACAAGTGGTTCTCCTGTTAAATTACAGTAAACTTGTGAAAGCTAGTTTCACTGGATGAAACTGCTGTTTAGAGTGTAGGTGGAGAAAATATAACCTCTAAACAGTATGAGCTGTACAGTATAATACTGCCAGCTGTTTATTTATCAACAATTAGCTTATTATTTAAAATATTTTTTCAGTATTTTAGATACATATCTTTAACAATGCACTTCTTATGTTGAACAGGTTCTTGGTTTGTATGTGAGCAGACAGTCTTTACCCACCTACTGTTTAAACCTTTGTTTGAAAGGGACGGCCGGCCTAAGAGGCTTTGACCTGTGAAATCATGTAAAATCCTACTAAAGTGGAGAAATTCACTCAAAGCGTCTATTTTAACTATGAAAAAAAATCAAGCTTTTGTCTCTGCCCTCCGTACTTCTTGTGATTTCAGAAAATTCTGCTGTATTCAACGTTTAAAAAACAGAAACAAACACTAAAAATAATCACTGGCCAGAGAATTTCCTTTGAGAATAATAACTACAGGAGTCTTGATCATGATGGCCAAGTGCTAAATAAAACCCGAGTGCTGTTCTTGCCCCACAAACACTGCAAACCACAACATAAGTGGAATAGAAAATCTTCACACTTCCAAATTTAAATATTTGAATATGACATATGGATATTCCAGTGAGTCTCTGACCACTCTCATGGGTTGCTTCAGTATTTTAGCCCTCGTTTTAAATTTCTATACATTGACAGCATGCTAAACGAAGGTAATAAGACTTGATGATACATTGTAACAGCTTTTACAGTACATCACTGCACAAACCAATGAATGTTTTCTAAAGTCATTGGTGCAAACTGTTTTTTCCTCAGAGGTTTTTCACGAGGATTGTAACATTTGTTTCTATAAAGAGAACATCCAAACTATTTTTATAAAAATGTTTCATTTTATTTCTGATAATGGTTCTGCATGCTATAATAGTCCCAGTTTAATTTTCTGTTCCTATTATAAGCTGCTGTTGATTTATTTTTCATTACAAAATTGCATCAAAGTCTCATATGTAATTATATCAAATGGCAGCACGTCTCATATGTGAACATACCCGTACGACTTACTAATTAAACAAACGCTGCAATCGTGCAGTGATTGTTAATCTTGTAATAATGACTCCTTAGTGAATGTATGTTGTTGCCTTTATTTTCCTGTTTCGTTGTGGTGTGTGATATTTGAATTTCATACCTTATAACCTAGGCTCAATGCGCTCAGCAACAGGTAGCAGATTAAAACTGAGGGTCAGATATCTGTGCGAATGTTGCTGGGCAACTGGATATTTCTATGTCACTACAGCAACAATGCAGAGACGACTCCGCGGGGCACCTCGGCCAATCGCATGTGTCTGAAACTGTGTCCAGCATGTTTGTGTGTGAATACAAGACGTCCAGGTTTGTATGAGTTACCACAAGTGACTTTCTCACCCCTGCGTGCAGGTGTGCAGCTCTGACTTATGACACAGACCTTCCCTCCACAAGTATCGTCATCACTTTTCACAACGAGGCGCGCTCTACTCTTCTTCGCACCATTAAAAGGTAATGACGCAAGTGGCCCAATTAGACAAGAGAAATGACACCAACTTGTGTGCTTGCTCTAATCTTCTTCTATCACAGCACAAATTCCCCTGCCATGGGATCAAGTCTTATCTTATTTTCTTTTCCCGCTCAGTGTCCTGATGCGAAGTCCGCCATCTTTGATTCAAGAAATAATCCTGATAGATGACTTCAGCTCTGACCGTGAGTTTTGTTCTTTTTGTATCTGAACTGCTGCTCAGAAAGGCTTCAGATGAATGCTGAATAGATGTTGCTCTGTGCCTTTTGTATGTACAAAATAGAAAACTGTTAAAAAAAGTATGTTAATTCTGAGTTTACGGCTTGTTTCTGCTGTCTCCATGGCAACCCCCACCCACCTACCCCAAAAAAGAAAACTGTAAAAATGGGGCGATCGTGGCTCAAGTGTTGGCAGTTCGTCTTGTAACTGGAAGGTTGCTGGTTCGAGCCCCGGCTCGGACAGTCTCGATCGTTGTGTCCTTGGGCAAGACATGGCAGCCTCGCTTCTGTCAGTCTGCCCCAGGGCAGCTGTAGCTACAACTGTAGCTTGCCTCCACCAGTGTGTGAGTGTGAATGAATAGTGGAATTGTACAGTGCTTTGAGGGCCCCGAAAAGCACTATATAAATGCAATCCATTATTATTATTATTATAAAAAAATTATTTGAAGCAAACAAAACAAAGAAACTGAAAATGGAAATAAATATGAATATAATATGAAAGCTAAATTTGCTTGTTTCTGAGAACTTAGATTTTATATTTGGACTAATGGTGCACATTATTATTTCGATTTTTCTTAATTTATTCATTTACTTGTTTATGTGGAGTAACTTTGAAGCTACTTTCACGGAAACACTGACCGGCATGAATTATAATTCTATAGTTCACCTTCCCTGTGAAAGCTGCTGTGGAAAACGTTTCAGGACATGCAAACACAGTCAGACGTTGTAAATTTAGCTTACTGTAAAATCTGACTGCATAATACAGTGTTTTTGCTTTAGTAGCCTCAGGGGCTGCCGTGCAGAGTGTCCATAAAAAGTGAGGAAACTGAACAAGTGGAGGACAAAAGGCCTGCAAAGACCTGACGTAGCACACAAGAGATGCATCAGGCCCTTCAACTGATCATCTACTGTCTCAGTGGGAGCCTGGCTTTCAAAATAAAGGAAAACAAGGAGAAAAAGCTGAGATGTACCAAATTGTATAACACTTGAACTGTAAATCAGTGTCAGTAGGTCTGAATTAATTCAAATGATTTTGGTTCAATTCATCAATATGTACAGAGGACGTCAGGAGAGATTACAGAAGGAAGACAGCGTAAAGTAAATGGTAAACTTTAAATGGACTAGTTCTTATAGTCGCTTTTTTTTTTTTTTTTTTACTGTTCCTTCTTATATTTCTAAAATCCTGACTTTGATGCCGGAAGGCAGTTATGCATGTATCAGCGTGTGTGCTGAAAATACCAACCAGTCGAGAATCCAAATTACTGGAAAATTGTAGGAGGGAATAATTTCAGAAGAAACGAGTGGCCTTTTAGGTTTGTAATGCTCACAGGAAATCAGAAACTTAATGACGGGTGGCTGCTTTTTATATGTCTGAGGCAAATATGAAAAAATGTGAACGTAAACAACAGCTGTAGCAGAAGTGAGCTGGAGAAACACACGAGTAACAGCCTGGAAAGAGAACTAGCAGAATCAGTTTAATTCATTCATTTTGAAAATTGGAGTTGAATTGGTTTAATATCACCGTAAAAAGTGGCTGGTGTGGTTTATGTGGCTGTGGAATTATCGGATAACCACACTTTAGTAATTATTCCCCTTTGTCAGCATCGGGCTGAGAAATTTCACGAGCTCATGTCGCCGGTGCCTTCTGTAATTACCACCACATGGATCCTCTGTCTGTGGGAACAGCACGGCGACCTATATCCACGGTGTACTAACACCCTCACACGTGCATTCGTACTCGGAGGTGTCAAAGCTGGCCAGACATCTAAACAGTAGTGTCTCAGTGGCAGGAGCAGCGGGAGCTCTGTAGCCCACTAATGCCTCATTTATCCCTCGTCTCCTGCTGCCAGTCTACCTGCACCTTGGCTGTACCAGCAGGGTTCAGAGTGAACAAAGGGTTCTTAAGCTACACTCTTAATCTCTTCCCTGTTTTGGATTTTAATTCCCAGTATTAATTATCATGTGAACCAGTCTCAAACACACTTTGGTTCCAGTTTGTGGCTTTTAGTTTCGACTCAGTCTGACTGTGAGCCAGTGAGCCTCCAATTAGCTGACTTCTCCAGTTGCTGTGCTCAAATGGGTGCCATTGTTACCAGTTTCAGACAATTAACACAACAGCTGCTACAGTTTTGAAACAGGAAGGTCCACAGCATGCTTTGTTCCTCAAATATTGTTAGTTCTATTTGTTTTACTTCTGTGAGATAGTAAATGAGATTTTTTCCTGTAGTTTCTGTACAGTTAGAATCTCTCACCACTTAGACCCAACATTTTTACTCTGGGGATTGTTGCAGTGTATGTATTACCTAATAGTCATTCTGAAGCTGAATCCTTTACAGTGTTTTACAGCAGGTTTCAGCTCATTGTTAGAGGTTAACTTTTGTGTTTTGATGAACTCGCACCGCTGTCATAGCAGCTGGTCACAGCTGGCAAGTCCCACGTGACAGATCAGTTATTGCAGGCTTAAATAAACATGGATTTCCACGCTCTCACGGCAGCCACTTCAATATTATACATGTCCCGCTGTATGAGCAGCAATTGTTATTCAGACTCTGATCATAAAGGTTCAGTTTACCAACATATATGATAAAATAAGCACGTTTTTGCTTTTTTTCATGGATTTATTTCCCACTGTGTTGTAATATCTCCACCGAGAAAAAATGCAGATGAATGATTGAATATATTCAAATCAGAGCTTCTGTGTCAAGTGTGCAGGTGGAATTTAGAGAGACAGTCAGCCGATGCAGTGAGAGTGTGAGCTGATTTGTTAGTAGACGTGACGGTGTTGGAGGATGTCGGCCAGCAGCAGCAGCAGGAGGGATTGTCCTGGCTGAGCGTAATCCTGTTAAGGCTCGCCCGCTTTAATCACAAGGACATGGCGCTCGATCAAGGACAGTGATCTTTACTGCAAGCCTGCATGTGACTCCAACAGTGTGGAGACAGGAGTACACTGGATTAATTAATATTTACAGGACTCAGATAAGCTCAGTTTAAACTTAACAGATTCACACAATCAATCTGGTTGAGTTTGTAGAGTTCTTCCCATGTTTACGTGGTTCTCCCCGGGTATCCGATCTTCTTCCCACAGTCCGAAGACATACATGGGTTAGCTTAACTAAAATAAAGGCTGTATTGGCTGTAAGTGTGAATGTTGTCTGTGACCCTGAACTGGGTCAGCAGAAAGAAACAGATGAGATGATTATCTTGTTAATTCAGAAAAACAGGATAATATACTGTAGTTTAAAACGATAACTCACAAAACTCTTAAAATTCTCTTTTTTTTGTGTGTAGTCTGGGAAAAAAATTCCCTGATGCAAACAGGCTTTCACACACTCACATGCATGCATACAAGCTTATACAATCTAGCTAAAAGTGTATAACATCTGTTCGGTGGAAGTGATCTATGACTTTTTGCTCTTCTTGCCCGAGTCTTGTGAGTCTTCTCTACACACACCAGCTGTCCCCCCATTAGGAGCAACACTAAAGCCATACACATACACACACACACACCCTCTGACTCTACAGTCTACATGCAAACAAACAGGTTTGTACACACAGCAAATTTAATCACAGAGGATTACAACTTGTCATGCTCGTTTCTGTCAGCATAAGGTTGTATCGCTGCTCGGGAGGGGGTCTGCTTGATCTCTCCACAATCCCTCAGCAAGATCACAAACACACACTCTCTGCTGCTAATGTCGATCTTGCCAAGTGTGCGTGTATATGTGTGTACCTGTGCTTGTGTGTTGTTTGTAATGATGTCCACTACAACAGCAGCTCTGTGCCAGCTATGGCTCATGTAGAAACATGGAGTGGATGATGGAAGTTGGCTCACTGGTGGATTTGTTTATGGAAAAAAGGATTTTGAATTGAATTATGCAGTGAAATGTAGCTCTTTTGCTTGAACACTCTGACCTGTGCACTTTTTTGTGTTTACGTGTTTCTCATTATTATAGCCTAAGTGAAATGGATGCACCGATGGATGTTTGAATGTCTTTAGCTCATATACTGCAGCATTAAGTGACTTTTATCACAGCCCTGAGTAGTGTGCTTATTGAGGGTGTGTATCCGTAACCATGCCCTTGTTTGTCTGTGTTTATGTCTGTTTAAGTGCACTAAATCCATGTAAGTGTGGCAGCGTGGTGTGCTTGTGGGTTTGGGTGAGTGACAGAGTGTGAGATGAGGCAGCGAGGAGAAATATTTTTCTCAGTGTGTGTTCTCCTTCCACCATAAAATGCCATCTCCTCTGCTCTCCTCCCCCAGCTGAAGACTGCCAGCTGCTCGCTCAGATCCCCAAAGTGCGCTGCCTGAGGAACGGCAGGAGAGAGGGTGAGTGTGCGGGGACAAGGGGAACGATGGGAAGGGGGGAAAATGACTTAATGGAAAAGATATTGGACTGAAAAGGGGATGTATTTTGTGTGGCTTTTTTAAAGGAATAATTCATAGAAAGACAAGTGAAGGCGAAGATGGTAAAAATGCTTCACATGACAGCAGATAGTCACTGAAAATGTGTGTCCAAAAATACTGGAGTGGAAAAAACAAATCAAATGGAAAACAGAAACAGACCAAAAAGATATGAACAACTGTTGTTTCAGTCATTTTATGTAAAAGAAAATCATTTATGTAATGAGAGCAACATGTGACAACACAGTGAAAAACAGAAAATGCTTAAAAAAGTGATTGTCACAGGAAAAAGTGGGCTTGTAATTGCTGATGGATGAGGCCAAATTGTAAGAATACACAAGAAACTGACAGCATCCAAAAGGATAAACACAAAGAGCCAGGAAATAAATGCAAGGACACAGAAGAAGCAGAGTTATCACAGATTTCTATTTTGCATTCATTTATTTATTTTTAATTCTGTTTAGTTTCAGTTCGTTTACTGGGTGAGTTTTTGGTTTTTATTGTTTTTTATTAACTGTTTCAGTGTTACTTTTAGTCTTTCTAATTATTATAGTATGTCTCAATAAACATGTCAATGATTTATTTTTTACCAAAAAACCCTAAAACTAAAGATATTTCTTCTGTATTTTTATTTTACTTTAGTCTGTTGTGTGAAAGTGTGTGAAACTAGGAGTGAAAAATAAATTTTAGTTGACTAAACTAAAATCTATTTTTCAATCCTAGTTTTTGTTTTTACCGTCGGTTTAGTTAATTATAATAACCTTGACAAGAAGAAACAGGAACATCCACAGACAGCATGAAAAATGATGACAGGATCTACACTTGCCTCCTCCTGATTCCTTAGTTTTTTTGCTTATTAGTCTTATTTATGTTTTTCAGAGCATCAAGCAAATTATAATAGTAGGCAAAGATAACTTGAGTAAATACAAAAAATAGTTTTTAAATAATGATTTCATTTATTAAGAGGAAGAAAAAGCTATGCAAACCTGGCCCTATGTTAAATCATGAATTAACTGTGATTAACCACATTTTTTGGAAAGATGAGTCCAATTTCAGTACCCACAGACAGGCCTGAGTACTGCCAGACTGCCAGATTAAATCCCAAAATTACTTAAATCAAACCCTGTCTGACAAAGTGTAGGAGGCTAAAAGACCTCAAAAAGCAGCTCATGGTGCCACGATCTAAAGAAACAGCTGAGAAACAAAGTCATTGACTTCTATCAGTCTGGAAAGGGCTACAAAGCCATTTCCATGGCAAATGGATAAAACATGGAAGAGTGGTGAACTTTCTCAGCAGAGCGCTTCGCTGACTCATCCAGAAAGTTTGAAGTAACATATCCGGTTATGAGATTGTTCTCGGAAGCTCGAGCTATAATCCAAGGAAACCATCCAAAGTCCACTTCTAAATGGCTTAAAAAAACAAAATGAAGGCTTTGAAGTGGCCTAGTCAAAGTCCAGTCCAGACTTAAGTCCGATTGACATAATTTGGCATGACCTAAAAAGACCATTCATTCTCAAAAACCCTCCAATCTGGCTAAATTAAAGCAATTATGTAAAGAAGAGTGGGTCAAAAGTCCTTCACAGTGATGTGAAAGTGTCATTGCCAGTTATCACACACGCTTGAGGATGAGTAGAACCAGTTATTTGGTCTAGGGTACAATTATTTTCTCATAAAGGACATTTTGTTCCCATTAATAAATTAAATAATCCTTTATATTTTGTATTTACTCAGGTTATCTTAGTCTAGTATTAAAATTTGTTTAATGATCTAAAGAATGTAAGTGTGAATAAAAAAAATAGACAATAAAAAATACTTTATTATCCACTGTATACCTACTGACAGCTGATATGCTGTATGGAGTACTGGGAGCTGTTTGGACATGTAGAAGCCACACCCTGAAGCTCCCAGTGCACTGTTTCTCTGCCAGAGGTGGTATGTAACTCTGCAGTTACTGTGTCAGAAGCACGGGGGTGCCTTTAGTGCACTATATGTTTCATAGCTCACTGACCCCGCTCTGTAGCTTTATGTGGTCTGCCACTTCCTGATTGAGTTCCTGTGGTTCTTGAACACTTCTGCTTTTCAGTAATATCACTTACAGTTGATGAAGGAATATCTGCGAGGGAAGAAATTCAACAAGTTGACTCATCACAAAAGTAGCTTCTTACGACACTCGAATTCGGCGTGCTATTTAGAGTGATCCCTTCTTTCACAAATGTTTGTAGAGGCAAAATGCACGGCTAGAGGTGGTCAGTGTAGTGTAGCGTAGTGTAAAAACTAACACGAAAACAGTAAAACATCTTGAAAGTTGTTCAGAAATCCAGAAAAACTAAACAGAGACCAAAACTGAAGAAAATTGAGGCAAAATATTGTTAAAATATTATGACGTTAAAAAAAGAATCCTAAACTAAACTGACAAAACGTAAGACTCAAAGCTTAAGATGCTAAAATATTAGAAAGACCTAAAAAGAAATCATAACTACAATATATTGGCTAAAAGCTCAAAACTCAAAAATCAACATAAAATCTGATCCTTCATAAACATAAAACAATCAACATTTGCGTGTCTAAGGCAAATAGACAGTTATAGTAATTTTTGTAGAAGCATAGATTTATATATCATTAATATTATTAATTGTGTTTGGTCACATGTAAGTATAGATCCATGTCTCTGGATTTATCTGCATTCCTTACAGTTTGATCTCCTTTTTTCTGCACTCTCACACCTTTCATTGGACTAAATTCTGTGGCAGTACTTACTAGAACCACTCACTTTATTGTTCGATCGCTCCTTCACAGGCACCTGAATGAGTTTTATTCTCTAACTCTGGGATGTCAAACACAATGATTAGTCTGTCAAAGGGTTCAGTCTAGCCTACTGTGTGGAAATTGTGGAAATGCAGGGTACAGTTTTTTTTTTTACTGTGTTTCTAACCAGGAAACATTTGTATTGCACGCTGTTAGAAATAGATGTGGGCTCATTTTATCCAGGCCTCAGGTCTGAATCATTGTCAGGTTTTCTAGCTTCTTACTAACAGCCTTTCCAGTGACCCACCACGTAAGCTGGTTTAACCAACGACTGTACCAACTTGTTTCATTTTAGCATTTGTTTTTGATGACAGTAGACTGAATGTGGGAAATGCAAGGGTTTTTTTTTCTCTTAAGAAATCCCATTTTTGCAAATTTCTTCACACTTAATTTGAAGATACTGTTTTATGTGCCATTACTGAATGGTGTGCTGGTCTATTTGAGATTAATTTGAACCAAAATGAGATTCATGCTCCAAATCAGGGAAGTTCGGCTGACCTAAAAGCTAAAATAAGTCGTGTTACTGTTTGATAATCCATTTTTCTCAGGTTCTTGCACTCACAGCATAACGCGTTTTTTGGGCCACATGCTGTTAATGTCCGGCAGCAACAGTCCACAAGCCCAAGTTTAGCTTTCTTTACTGCCACCCTTAAAACCCACGTCCACAAATTATAATAAGCTTAATCTTAATCTATCTTTTTCATAGGCTTTCTCGTGTAGAAATACACAAGAGGTTTTTTTTTAAACAGGATGACCCAGCAAAATACAGCCCTCTGAGAGTTTACTGAAGTAAAAGCAAATAGTCCCTGTCCTTGTGACTGGATTGATTTTCAGCTCTTAATGGCTTCACACCATCAGGCATCATTGACGTTCTCTGCTTTAATGCGTCAAACTGCTGCCAGAGGTCATCAGGCACTGAAGCATTAAATGTACCCACAATTACACCAAACAAGCACGAGCAGGAAGTCTTTGCTATCATGGGTGAGAACTGTGGAATAGCCAGTGTGTGTCTAATATGTAGTATTCACATTGCTAGATAGATTACATACATTACATTTAGCAGCTTAATATGAGGTCTTTTCATCGTGTGTTGGTGTAAACTAAAAGCACACAGATGAGTAATCTATTGGCCTGACATTTGGTAGGTGGCCCGAAACACAGCACCAGATAAATTACTGTTTCTCCCTAAGAGGTGAAGTGCCTTAACTGACCAGGCGCGCAATCCTACTCTCAAATGTCACTTAGGTTATACTGGGGAAGGATGAAATGTGAACTGGTGTGATTCAAGCTCATTCATTGGTAAAACAAAGGTTGTGTTTGTGTAAACGATGTGCCTTAAACTGAGCACTGCTTATTCTCATGAAGCTTCTGTCAAAAGAAGCTTCGGTTAAACGTCATGCATCAGAATGAGGAAGAAACTTGATTTGTTTGAGTATTTCAGAAACTTTTGATCTATTTGAACTTTCCCACATGCAGAGAATGATCAGGAAAAGAGAAAACAACCAGTGAGCAGTAGTTCTCTGGGTGACAAAAAAGCTTCAAGCCTTTGGGAAGTAACAACCAAGCTATGCAGAAGAGCACACTGGTGCAGGAAATTGAGGCTATAATTTGCACAAGATTGCCAAAATTGGACAACACAAGACTCGAAAAATGTCACCTGGTCTGAAGAGTCTCAATTTCAGGTGCAACAGTCGGATGATAGGGTCAGAATTTGACTCATCAACGTAAAAGCATGGGTCTATCCTGCCTTGTATCAGTGGTTCAGGCTGGCAGTGAAGGTGTGATGGAGTGAGGGATATTTTCTTGGCACACTCTCAGCTCATTATTGTTTAAATGCCACAGCCTACCTGAGTATTATGGCTGACCACATCCACCTTAACCTTTATGATCACAGTGTATCTTCTGATACCTGCTACCAACAAGAAAGTGCACCATGTGACAAAGCTCAGATCCTTTCTTGGTTTCTTGATAATAAAAATGAGTTTAAAAATGACCTCCACAGTCACCAGATCTCAATAGATTATATATGGGATGTGATGGAAATGGAGATTCCCATCTTGTATGTGCAAACGGCAACGGTGTAATGCTATCATATCAACAAGGACCAAAATATCTCTGAGAAATGTTTCCAGCAGAATTAATTAAGAACTAAGGCAGTTGATCCTTTTATTAGCAATAGAGGACAGTGAACGTTTCTTTTCTTCTTTTTTTCTTCTCTGTTACAAAAGAAAGGTGATAATTCTGAAAATCATCCTTTGAATTATTCAGAGAAACAACCTCCTCTTGAAACACTCAGGTTATTCATGATAAACTTCATGGGTGCACATAATCAGCTCAGAATTAAGATCTCGAACTCTTGTTCTATTAAAAACAAAAAGCATTTAGTAAATTTGTGTTATTTTAACGATCTTTGACTTCAGAACAAAACCTAGACAGTTCTGCTATGAAGCCATGCTGTTGTGATAAATAAAGTGGTTTGGCATTGTCTTGCTGACATATGCAAGGCCTTGCCTGAAAAAGACGTTGTGTGGGAGCTCGAATACCTTTCAGCATTGATGATGCCTTTTGCACATGTACAAGATGTCACGTCATCTGAGTTGTGACAACCAGATTGAGGGTCTCTTTCCTCTTTAGAAAGACAAGGTTCTGAAATGTTCTGAAATTCTGTTTTCTAAAAAGGATTCAAAATATAAATTCATCTCACTGTAGAACAGTTTTCCACTCAGTCCATTTTAAGTTCGTTTTGGCTCAAAGAAGACAGCAGGATTTCTGGATCATGTTCATTTATGGCTTCTTCTTTGTATCATAGAGCTACACCTGCATTTGTGGATGAAACAACAAACTGTGTTCACAGATGCTGATTTCTGGAAGTGTACCTGAGCCTAAGCAGTGATTTCTATAACAAAACCACAACGCAGTACTGCCTGAGGGCCTGGAGATCATGGCCATCAAATATTGACTCTTTAGCTAGTTCTTGCACACAGAGATTTCTCCAATCCTTTGTGTGAGATATTATATAAAATAAAGGAAGAAGGGGAAAAAATCATGAGACCTAAGTAGGGTGACTTTGTGTCTGTGTTGTTCAATTTATGCAGGTCCAGATATGAGGGCAACCTCATCCTTGAAATGAGTCACCATCTTAGTGATGGTGATTCATTTTGTCCATTTAATGAGGGCAGTTTGCTTTATATCTCAAGGAATACATCAGGTTTTCCATCACATTTATATCCCTTCTGTCTATTCACGAATAAGAGGTTCCAACCAGAAGAATGTTACACAAAACCGCTATTTTTTCATCCATGTTCATTCTAGGGTCTCTTTTATTTGGTACAATGTCGTCTCTCCTTAAGAAAAGTCTTTAAACATACTGTATTTCCTCAAAATGGACTTTTAAGTCTTTTCAAATAACAGGGTGCAGTGTTGCTTATTTGTAATGTGCAATGGATGAGAAAGATTTAAATACTTTCAGCCATTTTTTAAATCAGTTTGATACAGTTATTTTAGATGTAAATGTCATGACCGTGTGAGTGAGGAACATCCAGAACATGATGACATGAGGAGGAAACAAAGGAGCCTGTAATTATAACCATCTCAGTTTCAGAGATACAGATTTTTGCAGATATCAATTCTCCTAAAGCTCATTCAGAACGGCTGCTAGAGTGATTAATAGCTGTCCACAGACTGAAGAATAGTTATTGTCGACAAAAAAAATGACTATGACATCTTAAATCAATATAAAGCATTTTTAAAAGTGACTCAAGATGTCACCAGAAAATGTGATTTCCAGAGATTTCTTTTAAGGATCAGAGTCTTGACAACAACACTTGCATTAAACAGCATCAGTTTAATAAAACTGTGACCATCTGAGCAGTTTGAGACTTCAGTGTCATGTGTTTCCTTCAGGTCTGATCCGATCACGCGTGCGAGGAGCCAACACGGCCTCTGCTTCGATCTTGACCTTTCTGGACAGCCACTGTGAGGTCAACACTGACTGGCTGCAGCCTATGATACAGAGAGTCAAGGAGGTACAATCGCACATGCTCACACACACACTTAATCGGACACTTAAATGCATGCTGCACATATCCGCACGCACAGCCTCATGCATATGCTTGGAGGCGGAACAGTTATTTTCTTCTCTGTGGTAGATTTTATTGACTGTGATGCAATATGTTGGCACTGCGTGTTGTTAAATAAACACTCAATTTGTTCAGCTAAGATTCAAGTCAGACTATACCAGATGTCAAATGCTGCTCTGCCGCAGCTGGAAAAAGTTTGGTGGGCTTTTTCCTCCTCAGTCTGTTTTCCACTCTGTCCTTTGCATGAAATCGCTTCATATAGTTCACTGAAATTGTGCTATATATAGTTGTCTCTGCCTGATTTGGGTTCATTTTTTCTTATTTGCTTAATATATTGGTCAGTGACACTTGGGAGCTGACTTTAATGAGACAAGATGATGATTACTGAGTGACCAAAATCCTAATTAGCTTCTCACAACTGAGTCTCCGCTATAGAGGAAACTCTGAATGGGATAATGAGGGAGTGGTTTGGTTGAGTTGGGTGCTTTGTGTAGCAGCTGTGGTGCCGTGGACCGTTATTGCATTTATTCTTACAGCATAATCTTTAAATCAATAACACTCTTTGTTAATGACAGATTTTCCTGATTCACTGCCTCTTAAAAAAATAATTAGGCCGTCCATCAGGAGCACTATAGTACTGTCACATCCGGCCGCAAGTGTTTTACACTTCAAAATATGATGCGATGCCAGCCAGTCTTCATTATGTGGTGGATTTATTTATTTATTTTAAATATTGGTGGTATTTCCATGTGAACTTTCTTGGACATTTCAGCAGTAAGCACTCACTGTTTCTGTTCCAGTCTGCTTTCTTTTTCTCACAAAGTCACACAAGTGAGGTGCACGGAGAATGGAAATACATAGCGGCACAAAATCGTGTGCAGAGATGAATGTTTAATTCCTAAGAAATGAGTGTATTGATATAGTTGCGGAAAGAAATTCATCACCTGCTGATGAGTAACGACCTGTGACTGTCTCCTCCCTGCCCTGACATTATTAGCATCCTGTGACTGTGACTGGTTATGGTTGAGAACAACTGCTGATGCCCCCCCGCACCAATCTCAGGCTGTCCCAATGACTCTAGTCAGCAGGAGCTGTTTCATTTCACATTTCTCTTAGTAATCACCTTTCTCATGTTCATGACTCGCACTAATGTGTGACACTGTGATGTAGCTCCTGCAGTTTCTTCCCCGTCAGCAATGCACTGCTTCTTAATTTTCTTCTTGCTTGGCATTTTAGCAGCATGCTTGCTTCTCCAGGCTACAGTACAAGAAAAGAGTTGAGAAAAGAAGAAATATCAATACTTTTCTCAACTTGTGGCTTGTTGTTTTACTTTACAAGATATCTGGCATCTCGAATTTTCTTTTTGGGGTATTTTTGCCTTTATGTGACAACACAGAGAAGACAGGAAAGATGGGAAAGAGCACAGGGCGACACTCAGCAAAGGGTTCCAAACCTGAACCCAGGCTCCTGTATTTCAGCTGTATAGCATATGGGCTCCTGCCCAACCAGCAAGCTCAACTGGCACCCAGTGAATTGAATTGTCTTATTCACCTAATTATAGTATACCTGTGAGGTTGACAATAACATTTGTTTCAGTGCTTTTCTACTTTCAAAGAACATAACAAAGATCCTTGTGTTATATTTATTACTTCTCCCCTGTGTCCTCCTTATATCTTATTATGTCATTTGAGTTTTGCGTTTTGGATTCTCTTTGGATTAGGTTCTTTTTACTAGCTACTAGGGATGGGAATTGATAAGAATTTAATCATTCCGATTCCACTATTGAAATTCCCATCAATTCAATTCCTTATCAGTTTTCTTATCAATGTTCAATGGGGTCTCATTGGCTCTGCTTTGAGAGTCCACCATCTCTAAGCAGCATATCAAAGACATTACATTCATGCAAATTAATTGCATGTTGTTGGTCAAATGTTTGTGCATGTTGGAGGCATAGGCTACACTGGCACACATCGACACAAATCCCTTTCTTTTATGCTGAAGACTTTTATCTTTTGTCTTTCACCACTCCCCAAGTTAATCTTCTCTGTTCATTTTCATCTTATTTCCTGTTTTACTCTGGTAGCTCTTTGGTCTTCTGTATCTTGTCTAGTTTACTTGCCCTGTTCATTGTCTTGATTAAATGTGTATAGTCCCCACCTATTTGCACTTCCCTCATTATCAGCTGTGTATATGTTGTCTCAGTCTACTTTTGTCATGTCATCCATGTAGCTGTGTGTTTCTTAACCATGTATTCCCTTTTTTTCCTGACTTTGTTTTCCTGGTCATTTCTGATATTTGGATCCCCTGGCTTTGCTCCTTGTGCATTTTTGGATTTTGAACTCTGGACACTAAGCCGCTGCATTAAATGCCCACTTTGTGTTTGAGTTCCATCTACTTCATCCAGGTGCATCTTAAATCTCCATTCCACACAGCTGGATATAAAAAACAAAACAAAAAAACAGCAAACTTCACACATCTGGATCCTATGCAAAATCAAAAAGCAAAATTTCAGCCTTTAGGAGAGTTCTTCGACTATATACTGTAATGCATAGGTGTCAAACTCTGGCCCACGGCCCAAATTTGGCCCACAGCCTAATTACATTTGGCCCACGAAGCCATACCAAATTATTATTAGAGCTGGCCTACTGGTATTATACAGCTAATATATATATTGTTTAGTATTAAGCTTTGCTTGTTCCATATTCAGTTTTTCAGCAAAACTTGTTTGAGTCCATAAGAAGAGATTCATTCTTAAATCTGGAGGAAGATTTATTTTTCCAATAAATATTAATGTTAGCCCACTGTGTATTTGAGTTTGACACCCCTGCTGTAATGCATGAGTTTCAACAACCTACCATTGTTCGTTATGACCACAATCGAGGAGTTCCTCAAGTTTGAAAAACGGCTGATTAATCCGATTAAATTAGGTCACAGAGAGACACAGGGAGGACAATTCTGATGTCCATTCAAGTTACCATATGTGCTCATTTCCCCGATAAAGGACTGACTAATTTCTTGCCAAGAGTTTAGTGGAAATATCTCTAACCGCTAAATATTGAAAGCTAAAACATAAAGACTAAAAAACATCTAGCTAGGGATAAAATCCATGTAGATTACATGTTTGACCCTTTTTCTCCTCAAAGATGTGCTTAAGATGTTCTCTTTGGGATTTGAATAGTTTTTCCAGCTTTTTTTCTTTAACCTTCGGGCTAAGCTGAGGTTAGAATCTCCTGACTCTACTCTGATATTAAACGCATAGACATGATTACTCTAACAGTCTTCAAATTTAATTCTTGGCAAGAAAAGTAGTATATCTCACAAAAAGACTGATATCCATAGATACATCCCTGTCCCCTTGGCCTTCCTTGAAAAGAAGACTAAGTGTTTATCTGCAAGAAATAAAATAGGGCTTTATTCTGCTGAAGGACAAAAGTCTTCTGTTTGTTTAGAAAGTGCAGCAGAAAAAGTGCACCCATTCAGAAACTGCATGCAGGACAAATCAAGCTATAAGCTATATAGTCAAGCTACATATCATGTTTCTTCAGTGCAAACCTCACAGTTTATAATCACAAGACTCGACACATTGTGGGTGTGTGCAAAACTTGTTTGTGTTTCTTTGGCTTTGGGCAGCTGTGACTCATCCAGCTTGCATTACAATCTTTTAGTCTGGCGTTCATGAGAGTGCCGGCCTCAGTGATAATTTACCAGCCCCAGAGTTCAACTGCACTCCGCCTTGCATTTGTTCGTGTCCCAGAGACCAAACCCTGGTTTTATTAAAGCCTCTGGGGGGCAGAAATAATGATGAATAATAATCTTCTCTGTTTTAACTTAATTATGCTTTTCCTTTGTTAATTAAAACCAGCAGGCGTGACAGCGTAATTCAAATGTTGCTAATGTGCAGCAATGAGCTTCTCACTGACAAATGTAAAGGGAACATGATTCAAATAATTGTCTGGCTAATCTTATGTGGTCACTTTACCTTGCTTGTTTTCATCTTCACTGGCACAGTTTCTTTAACTAAATTATTAAATCATAAAGAATAATTGTAATGCTCTGAAGGAAAAGTCTAATATATATGGAGGGTTAAAAACATGTTTTACCGCAGCATGAATTGTCTGAGTTTCATTACTCAAAGGCTACGTTCACACTGCAGGCAAAAGCACATCAAATCTGACTTTTTTGACCCTATGCGACCATATCCGATCATGGTATGTCAGTGTAAACAGCACAAATCCGATATTTTCAAATCCGATCTGGGTCACTTTCGTATGTGGTACTGAGTGCGATACATATCTGATGTGAACAAGCAGACCAAAAAATCGGATTTGATCAAAAAATCGGAACTGAGCATTAAGACCTGCAGTGTGAACGTAGCCATAGACTGATAGCATTCCTGGATGATAAAGTGAAGAAACAGAGATCCTGACATATCAAATGTCAAGAGCGTATTGTGAATTCGTCGCCCGCCCGTTCCTCAGTATGATTGACAGAGATCAGAATCATAGACTATGAAAGAAATGTTTGGACTGACAACAGACGTGACAACACATTTTTGTATTATTGTGTCTCATTTGGTTCTGTGAAATACAAAATGGTATTAGGAGACAGGACAGGGCTAGCTGGTTATCACACTAATTATGGTGGATAGCTGTGTAGCACCATCTGACATGATGTTAATATGGTGATAGCACATTTTAACAGAATAACACACACACCTGTTTCAGTTAACAAATACTATTTCACCGGCAGAGTACTGTGTTGTAAATTCAAACACAGAAAAAATGTGACATTGATTTTGGAAGCGCAGCCACTTTATGCATTACCAAATCACAGAGACTCATTAAAAGCCCAATAAATGTCCATTGCTTAAAACTGTTGAGAGCATCACCTTTTAAATTGCTCTCTGGCAGAGTGGCTTTTCACACTCGCTCTTCCCCCGCACTCTTCGGCGCAACAAGCACAGAGTTCACAACGGGTTCAATCTCTGATAAAGAGACGGACGGTTCTAATTGGAAACACTCATTTGGATTGTCCCGAGCTATAAGCTGTTTGTCTACATGGACACTGGCACCCATTCACAGACAGATGCAGGCAGCACATACACGCTCGAGTACGCACAAACCAATCAGCAGTTCTGTCTTTTAGAGTTTGTGTTGGATCTGCAGCTGACGGTCAGATTTGAGGGCTTAATGGGAAGGTTAGGGATACTCAGCTTATGTTCTTCAAAAGTAATCAGTACGTGCTTGTTATTATTCACATTAAAAGAATAATCAGAGCTTACATGCATGTTTAGAGTACCGTACGCAGTTCTTACAGAAAAATTATTCGATTAAAACAAATAGCTTCTTTCTACTAATAAGGATACAATTTTATGAAATGTTCTTGCTCTATTTAATTTGTTTCTTAGCATTATTCTTATTTTCATGTGATCAGAGGCTGGAAATTATAAAGAAAAACCTGAAGTTAGAAATGCAAAGGTTTAAATATGTTTTATTCTTCAGTGTTTTTTCAAGTATTTTTTAAATCCATCTCGATTTGTTGAAATAAACTAAACAAATAGTATTTAATACATTAAATATTTAATAATAGAATTAATTCAAAATAACATGTCATTGTGTTCTCCCATGCAGGATCATACAAGAGTGGTCAGCCCCATCATCGACGTCATCAGCCTGGATAACTTTGCCTACTTGGCTGCCTCTGCTGACCTGAGAGGAGGTCAGGGCGTAATAAACAGATCATACACAGTGGTAGTTGATCACACAGAGATCTGCAGGTTTAACAAACCTTTGTGACATGACATCGTGATTCCTG